AATAAACGAACACATTGAGTTTACACAATAGAGGGGCATGACAACTTCAATAAACAAACACATTCAGTTTACAAAATAGAGGGGCATCACAAGCTCAATAAACAAACTTCATTCAATAAGCAAACACATTTAGTTCTGCAACTTGAACATTACAAAAGACAGGAGCATAAAGTAAAACAGATGAGATTAGAAGCCTCCCCTATGAGGAATCAGTCCCCCAAGGCATCCACGGCCTTTTACGACAATGGCCAAAGAGGTGGTCTAACTCCTCTGGATACCATCGAGGTTCCGAGTTCACCTCCTCCTCCCCTTCGTCCTCTGAAGCTGGAAAGCCTTCGTAAGTGTCCTCCACGCAGTCAGACCCCCACTTCTTCTGTATGGCCCATCCAGAGTCGGTTTCCGAGGTCCACCCTCGTTGGTCAGACTCTACACCTTCCTCGTCTGAAATTGCTTCTGCTGAGGGTTTGTTCACCATAGCGGCAGGGGAATTCGGGTTTGTAGGGAAGCTGTCAATGACAGAAGGAAGCGCGGCATGCATGTTTCGATCTAGGGTTTCATCATCACCGAGGTTTGATTCTGGAAGCGCGACATGGTTCTTCAGATCTAGGGTTTCAACATCACGGCGATTTGATTCAGGACCCAGGGTTTCATCATCCCGCGGGAGAATTTGAGGGAGGACAGTGATGTTTGTCTTCTCCATGGATGAAAAGGGGGGAGAGTGGAGAGGTGAAGAAGGTTCTTGACAGAAGACAGAGAGAGATAATTGCGTGGGGTTGAAAGGAGGGGTCGGAGTAAATGGGGCACAGAATAGGCAGAGGAAGGAGGGATATGAGGAGGGCATTTATGAGTTTTTGCCTTTAAAAACTTTCCTAAAATAGAAATGGGAAGTTAATTTTGGGACGTCCATTTAAGGAAAGTGGGAAGTTGTTTTTGGGACGGAGGGAGTATATTATAAGGCCAAAGAATTTATGTTCATCTCATTCAAAGTAGTATGTATGTAGAAATATATTTGTAGTATAATTTAAAAAACAAGTATGTATACTTATATATTGAGCGGATCGGATCAGTGAGGCATGGGTCAATAATAAGACCTGGACCCGCCCACTGTATGAGTGGGGTGGGGCAGACCTGCTTCAAATGTCTCGGGTCATTGCGGGCCGGTTTTTTTACATGTCTAGCGCTCCCACCATAGACTAGCCTACATGTGTATGTGCATTTAATGCACTTAACCTTTATGTCTAGTGTAAATAGCGGCCCCTTGGACAGTTGTAATGGTTCTACTGTTCATTAATACGATTGCTCTCTCTCTCCTACTTATTGGTTTCGTCTTCTTTCTACACGCTAGTGGTATCCCGGTATTAACTATTTAGCAAATTACATACATAGTATATGTCTAGCCTAATAGTGGTGCTGTTTAATTTTGGTGATGAATGCTAGCTTTTTGTGTCCTATTAAAGTTATATTATGGACTTTTTTGAAGACCTTATATAATTAAATAAATTGTTTAAAATTGGAATAAAATATGGACAGGCGGAGCCAAATCATTTCACTCTAAGGGGGGGCCGAGTTATAGTACAGGTATTGGAATGTAAAGGAAAATTTGTAATTTTGGTCTAATAAATTTACTTTGTTTCCGTGTTTAGTCATGATACATACTTGCTCGTAACTTCGGACATGTAATTAATATTGTTTTTGCAATATAAGTACTTTCCCACAGAAAACTACACTTTCCTACCGATAATTCACCCCAAAATATGCCATCAATGTCGAATTTTTTGCAAGAAAGTGTACTTTCTGATGCAGAAAACTTTAAACCGCAAAGATCTACTCCGTATTACTTAGAGGACCAAATTAGCATGCGAATAAAGTTACAGAATACAGATCAATTAATAATGAGAACACTCAAAAATTACAACACTAAATTACAAATCTCTCAAATGTGAAATTTAAAACACAAAAATTAAAAATAGAGGATTACGGTAGATTGGCTTGCCTTCATAGATTTTTGGGAGGGGCCCAAATTATTTTTTAGTGGTATTTTAAAAATTAAAAAAAGTGGGAGGGGCCATGGCCCTTAAGCAAGTACGTACCTCCCCCCTGGGGATTACCCCTGTTTTTAAAAAATGTGTCGTGTGTTTTCTCCAATGTAAGTAGTCTTCTCTATAAATTAAGATTGTGCATTTAGAAGAGTTTTACTCTGTATTATTAAGTGAAACTACCTACAATAGTTTTAATTATTTGTTATGTCAATAATTGTGTCAATAGTTTGTGACGACCTTTTAATAGCAATTTTAACAAATCAACATTTCGACACTAATTCATCTTATGATATGTCTTAGATTGGAAAGGACTGAAGTTTTCTACCTGCTAAGTTGTACTGTATCAGTATATCTATTGACGGTTGTTAATAAATTAAACGTAATATTGATCGACAAATTCGGACTTGGCTTTCACAGTTGCACATGCTATCAATGACCCAATTGAAGGTAAGCTTTTTGTACTGTCGATTTTGTTCAGCTTGAAATAATCACACATTGTACCAAAGAAGCCAGTATTTGATTAATTGGCTTCATATAATTATTTCCTTATTAAATAGAGTTTTAGACTATTTATCAGTAATTATCATGATTGTTTTGCTAATTTTAAATGAGACTATATATCTTTTACCCACTCTGACTAAGATTAAACTAATACTACCCCCATTCCAAAAGAAGTTCTTGTTCACTATTTACTTGGTCAACTTAAATCACTCTTAATCTTTTACTTTATATATCAAATATGTAACAAATTTGAATTTTCTTTTGCGACTTTGTAGAATTTTTAATGTAATTTCTGAAAATGTATATTCTATTTGCTAAACATAATTTGAGTGTTAACAAGGATCGGTTTGTTTTATCGTTAGTCAAACATTGTAAACCAAAAACGGAAACTTCTTTATGGAATGAAGGTAGTAAGAGATTTCTCTAAATAGGAGCAGAAGTATTTGTAAATATATTTTAAAAAAAAAACTTGTATTTTTGGAATTTTAAATCATACCATGAGTTTGGTAAATTAAAGTCATGAGCTAAAAGAAAGGATAAAATTGATCATCAGGACCCGTAAATTATGCCCGTACATACCTGTATTTGGTCGATCCCTTAACTTTACAAACGATAAAGTTACTCATGTAACTAATAAATTTATTCTTACTAAGGACTTGTTTTTTACTAGAATATACTATTTTCAGCATAAGAGTTGGCTATCGATAATGAATTTTAGACCGTACTTTATTCAGAAATACATCTACTTTTTTATGAATAAATTTTTTAATTACGGGATCAAATTTACGAGTGAGTAAGTTACATAATTAAAAGCAATACTTGTTTGTTTTTACTTTTTACCCGTACAGGTAACTCAGTGGTTTGAGTGGTGGAAAAGTTGGGAGAATGATCAAGGATCGAAACTCGCAGCGACCGTATGGAGGTTATAACTTAGTTCCTGCGTATTGGGCTAGACCTCTGATGCGCGCGGGTACAAAGTCTATCACCATTGGACCGACTGAGTCATCATAACTTATAACTTATGATCTCCTAAAATTAAAGTCTTGTCGGGTCGGAACGTAAGAACTGTTATGGTTGAGGGTTCAACCGTAGAAGAATAAATCTCACATTTAAATAATTAACCATGATGTATCACATACAGTGTGAGTATATAAAAATGATAGGACACCATGAAATTAGAAAGGAAAAGATTTTAGTCATATTCAAAGGCCGGCAGCCTAGATAGGGGACATGCTAGGCACTATATATCCCAAATCTGAAATAACACAAAGTTTGGAACAAGAGAAGGTGACACGATTATTAATAAAAGTGAGTTTATGTGGTTGGTATTGAATTGATAAAGTAAGAATAAAGTATGAATGATTTAGAACCACACAAACTTTAATTTACCAAACAAGGTATGAGACAATCTTAGTGGGACGGACCAAAAAGGTAAAACGGGACAATCATAGCGAGACGGAGTAAAAGATTAATAGCATATGGATAAATTTTGTGTAAAATTTACAGTATCTATGATTATATGCTAGTTACAATCTACATAAGAAGTACTATACATGTGTGTATTTTTCTTATCATAAGCATACTTTTATTGTTTCCTTGAGACTTTAATTGATAGAGATGGGTCAGATACTCAGATGGACTATGGACGGAGACCGAAGAACAACTACAGGACAACATAATTGTCCGCTCCAATTCAATCAAATTCAATTTTAAGTAGTACTCCCTCCGTCCCGGGGAGAAGTTCCCAATTTCCTTATTTGGATGTCCCAAAAGAAACTTCCCATTTCCCTAAATGGAAAGTTATCCTACATTAAAACAGTGCCAAACAGTGCAAAACAGTGCCAAACAGTGTCGAAACAATGCAAAACAGTAAAATTTACCCCTCAGTAACTTTATTTCCTAAAAATGTGTGAAAGTCAACCCGAGAACTTCTCCCCGGGACGGAGGGAGTAGTTTATATTTACAAGAAAGTTTACAAAATAGGGCCGTCTAAGATAATGTGCAAGTTCTTGACACTGGAACAGTGGAATCCGCTTTTACAAGGCTCTTCAAAAATTTACCACTATATGTAATACTCCGTATATACTAGTAGTATTATATGTAATATACTACGTATTATACTACGTATACTTTTTGTCCTTTAAACATTACTACTATAAAACTTACAAAACTTACCAAGTACTACCTCCGTTCTTAAATAAAGGTGAAATTTTACACTATTCGCATGTTCTATTTTGACTACGTTTTATTTATTAATGTATGAATATATTTTTATGAAAAAAATATTGTTAAATTTGTTTTATTGTAAATTTTCAATATCTAATTTTTTTAATTTTTTTACTAATATAAATTTATATATATTAATGGTCAAAGTTGTGTGTCGGCAAGTGTGAAATGTTGACCGTTGCATTTATTTAAGCAACGGTTAACAAAAATTTTCTATATTTCTTTTTTATATAGGGGCCTCAATTCCGCCTAGATGTAAACAAAAAATTGCTCCATAAACTAGTTCAAGTAATCACGTGCACGTACAAACTACAAACCCATGCAAACTCGTGATCTTTGCACTAAATTAAAATAATACGCACGTACGACATGTATTACTCGTAGATACGAAGTATATTAAATTAGGGTGACAACTCCGGTACCTATTTAAAAAATGGGGTACAGTACCTACCATCCATTTGATTGGTCCAAATCATTATATCATTTTTAATTTAGATCATTTTTAATTTAGATTTAAATAATTCAACTGCAACATTTTGATTGGTCCATGTGGACAAAAGTATTGTATCTTAAGAGTACCATAAAATCTACCTTAAATTAGTGCATTTTAGTTAAATTTTAGTCCACAAATACTAATTAAATTATTAACACCAAACTTTTTTGTAATTACTCTAATATCAATAAAATGTGAGTGTGTGACCCAACTTAATTGTATATTGATCGTCCGTTCGTTAGGAAATTACTCCGTATTATTATTATTAATAAAGAAAGGTTTAATTATTTTTTACTAAACATGGTACAATCTCCCGATGATAACGAGAGTATCTTGTCCACAAATTCCTGCAAATTACGGTCGGACGAGCCGCCGTGTTCCACCGCTTCCTCCGCCTTCTTCTTCCACTTCAACGCATTCTCCTTCATCTCCGCCGCCTTCTCGCCCACCGTTGCTTCCACCAAACACTTCTCAATCTCCTCCCTCGGAATTATCCGGTCTTCCCCTTCACCTCTACACAGCCTGATTCCCGTCTTGAACACATCCACCAAAAACTTGGCGTTGGTGACTTGGTCTCCCCACTGCGGGAAAGCCACGACGGGCACTCCTATGGTGAGGGCTTCCACAGAGGAGTTCCACCCGCAGTGAGTCACGAAGCAGGCCACCGAAGGGTGGGCCAGCACGAGCTCCTGTGGGGTCCACTGCACCACCTTCCCGTTCACCCCGGCCTTCTCCAGGAACCATTCCGGCAGGCTCACCGGCTTGAAAGCCGACCCTTTGCTCGGCGGCTTCATCGACCACAAGAAGCTCACGCCGGAGCTCAGCAAGCCGTGGGCGATCTCGTTGACTTGGTCTTGCTTCAGGACGACGATGCTGCCGAAGGAAATGTACACGACGGATCCCGGCGGCTTGGAGTCGAGCCAGCCGATGCAGTCGTCGGCTTTCACGAAGTCAGCGCTGACCACTTCCTTTGACGACTGGTGCGTGGGGTCTTTGAAGAGCGGGCCCACAGTCTTGACGGGGCAAATCTCGGACACGTGTTCGAGGATGTCTCCCTCCAGCTCTTGAAACGTGTCCATTAGTATACAGAAGGGTTTGGACAAATTTTCGAACTGCCCCAAAATAGCCCTGGCCAGGAACGGGAGCGGGCTCGAAGGGTGTAAAAAACTAGGGACTTCATCGTACTTTAACAGCGGCATGCATGGCAACTGGACGTCAATTTCAGGCTCGGACAGGGAAGGAAAGGGAAAGAGCTTGTGAAAGTAATGGTAATAAGCGGAGAACGAAGCGCAGGATTGGACCCAAAGCATAGCACTGGGAATCCCGAGGCTCTCCGCCACGTCGGACACCCAGGGAATAAAAGGGTTATTGATGAGGCAACAAACCGGCCGGCCCTCCTCCTTGTGCTTCTCGATCATGAGGGTGATCTTGTGGGACCCGACGCGCCTGAGATGGTCCATGTAAAGGTTAAGATCCTCGCCCTTGGGCTCAGCGTGGTCAAACTCGTCGTCGAAGAACTCGAACCTGACGAAGCCTCGGCCGTAGGGGGTGGGTTCGGCGGAGGCGAGGTTGGGGTTGGCTTTTCTCATATCCCGGCCGACGGATTCGGGGGCGGAGAAAGTGACGAGGAGGCCCTTGCTGGCCATCCGCTTGCCGAGCCTGAGGAGTGGGTTGACGTGGCCTTGGCCGGGAAAGGACACGAGCAAGACATGTGGCAGAGATATGTCGGACGCGGAGCCCTGGGAACCCATTATAGAAGTATTAGGGTTTCGTTTAGTTATGAGTTGAAGAGTGTGTGTTTGAAGGCAGTGAGGTGCTAGCTAGCTATATAGCTGCTTCTCTCTTCTCTTTTGTGCTCCCTACCTGTATACTCGTATTTGGGTAAATTTGATTTTTCAAATAATCAAATGAATGATGTTAAATTTTAGGAAAAAATGTCGAAAAAAGTATTTGGCTCATTTGTGGTTTATCGAACCCGTTTACAAGAGGGTCATAGCGCCTAATAGCATTAGTAATCTTCGGAGGAAGATCATGAACAATAACTTTGATTTTTAAAAGTGTCCAAAAAATTAATTGAGAAATGCAAAGAGGTGTGCATCATCAAGGAGACCCCCAAACCTTCTTGCTCTTTGGATTTTTCGACTTTATTTAGATTATTTTTTGAAAACAAATTCATGAATATCATTTTTCTTGTGGATTTTCTAACGGCAATGGCAGATGGAAACAAGAAAGAAAGATGGTTTGAAGGTCACCTTGACGATAACTCGTAATATTTTTCTTTTAATTTGTCAGACACTTTTGGGAATATATGAAAATTACTATTCACCGTCTTCCTCCGGCCATTTCTAACCGCATTAAACACCATGTCCCTCGTGTGATAATGAAATCGAAACACATGTCTTATTTTGTTAAAAAATGAAACATACATGTACCCTATATGAAAATGGCGCAAACCATATATAGGTCCCTTATCTGTGTTTTTCCCTAAATTTTGACGATTATACATCTATATACGATAGTATTATTAATATAAAAACGATATAAAATGAATATACGGAGTATATTAAAAATACTATCATAAAAGTATAATTTTATTAACTTTCACAATAATATAATAATGAAAATAATGGATCAAACTTCAAAGTTCATTCTTAACTACCAAAGTGAAATATAGCTAAATAAAAAATGGTTGAGTATAAGAATGGACTACTCAGCTAGCTAACTTGGCAGTTAGGTGTAGTGGGTTAGTTAATTAGCCGGAAGAACACGTGAGTCCTTTCAACATTAATTTACTTCGTACTCTTTGTTGAATTATAAAAGGGAAACTTAGCCATGTGTGTGTTAGCACCAGAACCGATTAATAACTTTAGAATATGTGGAAAGTTTTTGGCTTGTACGTAGTAATGTAGTATAGTACACACTACACAAGTGGTGTAATGTTTACAATTTGATTTGATGATTAGGATGTTTTCTTTTGGACTGTTTTCAGTCCCAGACCAGACCAGACTTAAACAGACCAGACCAGACCAGACCAGACTTAAACAGACCAGACCAGACCAGACCAGACCAGACCAGACCAGATTTAAACAGACCAGACCAGACCAGACCAGACTTAAACAGACCAGACCAGACCAGACCAGACCAACAAATTTCAGTCCAAAAGAAAACATCCTTAATAATCTGGATTCCAGAGTATTTTTGTGATGCTTATTGCTTAATTAAGCTTATGAGGGTAGATGTGATTTTTATATTTTTGCATTAAATTCGTACTCATATTTTTTCTGTGAAGCGTATTTACATACATAGTAAATAACTAAATATAAGGTGAGTATACTATCGTATATAAAAGTGATCATTGGGTACAACAATTATTTAATGGCAATGATTTGGGTGGTGGAAAAAAGTTTCTTCTCCATAAAGATCGAAACAATTTCACAAATTTTGACTTAAATGATTCAGTAGATGAAATACGAGGAAGATAGAAAGGCAAAATTGAGAAGTCCATACATTTTTTAGTAAACTCAATTTTAAACATGCGCACGTACAAAGAAGGAAATGGACAACTCACTGCTTATCTCAAATTAATCTGGGAAATTCCTCTCTTTTTTCAAACTCTTAATCTCCCCTTTATGGTTAAAAAATCAGGGGCGGTGTGATAAATCCATATTTTGACATGTATTTGATGCGTGTTGAGATCGGTTTTTGATGATTTTCCTAGCTTTAAGGTGTTACAAGTCTCAATTTTAGCTCAAGTTATGTTTACCTTGTTGGAGTAACTGGACACAAACTAAAGTATAACACTCACCTTCTTTTTCATACGTTGATCATACACATCATAGCAATATACATACTTGAGATCAATATATATAAACTGCTTCTTTCTTCTTTATAAATGTGGGGGAAAAACCCATAACATACGAATATGAATGAATGAAAAAACCCCCTAAGGTTACCTCATACTTATACAAGTTGAGTGCAGCAGTTAGACTAAAACATGTATGAAACGTGGGTGAGAGAGTGAGGTAGTGTGAACGTGTTATGTGAGTGCATGCATGCTTAATACAAAAGTAACTACTATGACTAAAAACGTACTAACTAAAATAAAGAAATAAACAATGTTTAATGTAAACATTCACCCCCTTAAACTTGTTTATTCCTTTATAATCTTCATCCCAATCTTCTGACTTAGCTCATTGAATCTTTGCTTCCCAAGAGGTTTCGTCAGTATGTCTGCTAGCTGAATTTCTGTCCTTATATACTCCAGCTTTAACACTCCTTTTTCCACACATTCTCGTATAAAGTGCAGCTTTGTGTCTATATGTTTACTTCTTTCGTGAAACACTGGATTTGTAGCTAGAGCAATGGCAGATTTGTTGTCCACTTTCAGGATTGGTGCTTCTTCAAGATTTCCCCTTAAGCTTGCAATCAGTTTAGTAAGCCAAATAGCTTGACAGGCCCCTCCAGTAGCAGCAGTGTACTCAGCCTCGCATGAAGATAGAGCAACATTTTTTTGCTTTTGTGATACCCAGGTTATTGGACTACTTCCTAGAAAGAAGATAATACCTGTGGTGCTTCTTCTATCATCAATGTCACCAGCCAGATCACTATCACTATAGCCAACCAGCTCTCCTTTCTCTTCTCCTTTTCTATATACACACCCCACATTGAGAGTCCCCTTCAAGTACCTTAGAATTTGCTTGACTGCATTCATATGTGAAGTGGTTGGTGCTTCCATGTATCTACTCATGATGCCAACTGAGAAAGCCAAATCAGGACGTGTGTTCACAAGGTACCTTAGACTTCCAATGATACTCCTATACAGTGTTGTGTCTACAGGTGGTTCTTCATCATGTTTGCTGAATTTGCTTCTTGGTTCCATGGGTATACTGCATTGATTACACTCTAACATTCCCATTTTTTCTAGTATCTTCCTTGCATAACCTGATTGACATAGGGTTATGGTATCGCTTTTCTGCTGCACTTCTATTCCCAGATAGTAACACAGAAGACCCAAATCACTCATCTCAAACATTCTCATCATTTCTTCTTTAAACTTTTGAATAAGCTCAGAAGAGGATCCTGTGAGAATTAAGTCATCTACATACACCCCCACAACTGTGACATCCATTCCTGATTTTTTCATGTATACAGAGTATTCAAACAAACACCTAGAAAAACCCTGAGACTTCAAGCAACTATCCAGCTTCTCATTCCAGGCTCTTGGAGCCTGTTTCAAGCCATATAAGGCTTTATGAAGTTTCAGCACTTTGTTTGGATTTCTTTCATCAACAAAACCTTCAGGTTGCATGACATAAACTTCCTCCCTTAAATCACCATTAAGGAAGGCAGTTTTGACATCAAGGTGATGCACTTTCCAATCTTTGTGAGCTGATATTGCAAGTAAGGCCCTTACAGTTTCTGTTCTTGCAACAGGAGCAAAGACTTCTTTGTAATCAATACCAAATTTTTGAACATACCCTTTAGCGACTAACCTGGCTTTGTGCTTGATGATTTTTCCCTCCGGATCCTTCTTTAGTTTGAATATCCACTTTAATCCAATAGCTTTGTGTTGCTTTGGCAGATCAGTCAATTCCCAAGTCCCATTCTTCTGTATTGAGTTGATCTCCAAAGCCATTGCCTCCCTCCAGTTTTGGCTACCAACTGCTTCAGTATAGGTTGTAGGTTCTTCCAATGATAAGAAACACAACCCTGCTTCTTCATTTACTTCTCTTGTAGATTCATAAATATCATGTAAGGATCTGAAGTTTAGGTGTGCTTCACTTGAGCTTGAGCTACTACTTGACCTGGGAGAGCTTTCAGTTGAACCTGATGCTGAAGATGATGCTGGTGTGCTTATATTGCCTTCCTGAGAATCTGAACCTTGATCATCACCATCTGCATTACTTATTATGACAGTGAAACTGCTCCCATCACTGTCCTTGTCTTGAGATTTTTCCCATGTCCATTTTTGCTCTTCTTCAAACACAACATCCCTACTTATAAGTACTTTACCTTTGACTGGGTCAAGTAGCTTATATGCCTTCGTTCCTTCTTCATAACCAATCAACACTCCTTTGATACTTCTGTCCTCCAATTTTGCTAGATGGGGGGCTGCAACCTTTATATGTGCTACACTTCCAAACACTCTCAGATGATTCACATTTGGAACTCTCTCAAACCAAGCCTCATAGGGTGTCTTTCCTTCCACACTTTTGGTTGGTGCCCTATTTAGCAAGTACACTGATGTTTTAACTGCTTCACCCCAATATTTTGCAGGCATGTCCTTGTTCTTAAGCAAGCTTCTGGCCATTCCCATGATGGTTTGGTTTCTTCTCTCAACTACTCCATTTTGCTGAGGTGAATATGGAGCAGTTAGGTGTCTTTTAATTCCCTCATCTTCACAATATTTCTTGAAATCACTTGAAGTGAATTCACCTCCTCTATCCGTTCTAAAAACTCTCAGTTCTCTACTAACTTCTTTTTCAGACTCATGCTTAAACTTTTTAAATGAGTCAAGTGCATCTCTTTTGTTTTTCAGTAATGATACCCACATGAAACGTGAGAAATCATCAACTAAGAGCATGAAATACCTGTTGTTTCCAGGAGTGGGAGGTGAGATAGGTCCACACAAGTCTCCATGAACTAGTTCAAGCCTTTCTTGTGCTCTGAACTTGGCTTTCTGTGGATAAGGAGCTCTGTGTTGTTTACTTACCATGCAGCCATCACATACTTGATTTACTTGTGTAATCTCTGGTATCCCTGCAGCCATTCCCTTGCTTGAAAGTATCTTTAATGCTTGAAAATTCAAGTGACCATACCTTGCATGCCATAACCAGTTTTTATCACTCATAC